GATGGCTGAATGCAACTGAAAGTTTCACCTTTTGTTTCAGAAAAAATAATCATTGAATTCGTTTCAATAAAGCTAGGAGGATTTGATGTAAGTTATCAATTTAATATGATTGGAGTGATTTATTTTTTGGTTTGATAGGATAACATACCAATTGTAATATTTAATGAAGACCCACCAAATCTCTGCAGCACACTGGGGGTTGCAGAATTTGGTGGGGTAAAATGGCAGATGAGATATTCCATTGAAGACGAGATGGGATTTTTTGTCATATATGCAAATGGTAGGTATGCTTTGATCTGATTATAACAGATTGGACAATTCTAATTTTTGTTTGTTTCAGAATTGGAATAACTATAATAAAGAAAAAAATACTATGCATTGATTTATTATTTTTCCTCATTTTTGAACAGAAATACGGTTTGAAAATTTTGTATACAATATTTTATTCAATATCGGGTTTTATGAACGAATAGACATGTTTTTTCAATTCAAAAATATTTTTCACAATGTTTCCTAATATTGTTAAAACTAAAATCATAAAAATAGAATACAGGATGATCAGAGTTACATTGGTCTGTGATATTTCCTTGAGTTGTTGCCATTCATATAAATCTTCGTAAGCACCATTTTGATAATAAATTCTCAATTTGTATTCACTGGTATTGCTTGGAATGTATGTCATGTAGGTAGAGAGCAATCCATTATTCACCAATGTATACTCCATTCTTTTCCACGATGCAGGCCAACTATCATTTTTTATGCCATTGTTATCAAATGATATGAAAACTTCCTTGAAATTGGATTGTCTTGAAATATATAAAACATTTTGCTGGATGAAACTCAAAATGATAAAACAAGGCTTTAGCACAACCATTTCGGACTATGGTTTGATCAAAAATGAACATTCTTTGATGGAATTTTTTTCATGGAAGGACTGTCACGTGTCATCATCATAGGTGAGTATGATTCAGAGAGTGGATATTCTGTATAAAAAGCACTGATTTATTTCAGTTGGCAGTTAGATTCAATTGAAGATGGCCGAAGTACAAGTGAATGATGTGAGCACCTCATCTCAAGGAGATGTTCCCGTTGATTTCATTGATGAATATAGATGTGTGAGGAATGAGATTGAATGTCAGGATGCAATCATGAATGTGGAGGAAGTAGAGAGTGATGAAGAAGCGAATGTGAGGGTGACTTATGAACCATATGGTGCAAGGTATGATATTCCTCAACCTGAATCTCCACTAGAAAATCATTTGATTAATAATACTTGTGTGACTGATTATTCAAGTTGCAATAAATATTATCAGTTTTATGGTTATGTGGATAGGAAGTGGTTTATATTGTGTAGAAGATGTTATGAAGAAGATGGGGTTGTGAGGAGAATGCAAGAAAACTTTGAAATAATTCGATGTAACAAAGTTCATGTTCATATTAGAGGACATCTACATTGTTTCTTATGCAAGAAAGATTGTATCAAATATGGAATGTGTGAGTATAGATATAATTCTTTATTCAGAAACACGATTGGCGTTTGGATGTCAGAATTGATGTAGTTATGAATGTATGTTGAAATGGGAAGGAGTGTATGGTGAACGTTCAAGGCAATAATCAGAAGGGAACGCGCCTCAATTGCATCATTATTGTGGGGAATATTTAGAAAGTATGGTGAATGTACAATGCCAACAAGTTGGAGAACGGAACAGCTAGCAGTATAAAGGAATTGCAGCCTAAGCAGAAAAATCATTCCATATCGAAATCTTGTACCTCGCACCACATACAACCTCAAGGTGAGTTATTTCAATGTGAAACTGTTGTTTTGAAAAAACCATAATTTCTTATTTTGAGAAACAACAATATTGTGTTCTAATTCTAGATGGATCTTACAGAAATAAACAACTCTGCTTCATTGTGTGCCAAGAAAACAGTCAAGTTATCTGATCTTCCTGTTGATACGGCTCAACCTATCCTGTCACTACGCATCGTCAATACAAAATTTGGAAGGAGCGTTTTGGTGGAGTTGGACAGCAAAGTCGTTTTTCTACCAAAAAGGATCACCGAGCTACTGGAGGGAAAGGAAGCAGAGTTCATTCCTGGAGCTTATTCCCTAGTTTACAAGGGGAAAAAGGACGTGGGGAAGCCTAAGGACGCTTATCAGTTTGAATTGTTGAAAGCAGAATAAACGTGAGTGCTTTCGAACTCTTTCAAAAATTATTTTTTAACTCATGGATACTCAGTTTTGTCCCAAATGTAAAAAATACTATTGTTTTTGTGATCGATCAGTAAATATACATAATTTTTTAACTACGTTGAATAACATTCAAAAAGCATATAATAAACCAAACGATAATTTAAACTTATATTGTTCTGAAACTTTAGAAAGTAGTGATCATCGGAATACTACTGAAAAAAACAAAGAACAAACAGGTTGAAGTAGGTTCTCACTTGAACCTCCTAAGAAGAGAAAACGTTGATTTTTAACCATAAGGTAAAGTAGGATGTATGAAGATATATCAAAGAAGAGTGATGAAATTGTCAAAATAATTCGAAAAGCATATAGAACACTCACATCTGGTAGATCAAATTTGGAAAATGAGAATCGATGGAAAAAATTAAGCAATGCAAACCTCAAGATATTCAATAAAGCTATTCGTGAAGGTAATCTGAATATAAGTTCACTTAGAAAATTGCATACAAATATTAGACATTTGACACGATTCGTGAATTTACTTGATGAAAAAGAAAATGTTGCTTCTGTCAAGAAAAAAATCAAGTGGGAAGATATTCAATCTGCTTTTTCGAGTCGTATACGTTCTGGTATAATTATAAATTTAAAACATATTGCTGTCAATGACTTTTTGGAAGACTCATTCATATTATTCAGAAGCAGAAACAAGCTTTTGTTGAAGAAATTTGTTATTATGAAATTAAATACCTGTTTTTGTGGGGAATTTTTGAAAAACAATAAACATGATGAAATCATTGTTGAATTCAAATATTTGAATACAAAACATGTTATCATTGATAGGGGTGTGGATTTGACACAATGGTATCATGATAATGTTATCGATGTTCTCTTGAATAAACTCGATGAATTCCAAGAACGTGATAGCGGTTGGACATTATATAAAATAGTCAGTCTGGAAGTTAACATCAATAAAGTTGAGATGGATAATGGAGGTTCATCTTTCATCAAATTACCTGATCAAATAATCAATAAAAGAGCATGTCTTAATATCAAAAATGATGATGATGCTTGTTTTGCATGGTCTGATGTACTATCATGCTTATACCCAGCAAAATTGAATGCATCTAGAACTTCTTCATATCCACATTATAGCAATATTTTTGACTTGACAGGTATCGAGTTTCCCATGAAAATCAATCAAATCACCAAATTTGAAAGTCTCAATAATGTTTCTATAAACGTGTTTACTCTGGAAAAAAGCAATGGAAAATTCACCACTGTACCTATAAGAATAACTAGAAATAAGATACCAGATCGTCATGTGAATCTACTAATGTTCCAAGAAGATTATTCTGTGAGTTATGAGGAGGAGGAGGATATTTCATTTTTTGATGATGAACTGTATGAAGATTCAAATCAGTACCACTTCTGTTGGATAAAAGATTTATCAAGATTAGTTTCCAATCAGATAGGACATAAAAAAAATTTCTGTGTGATAGATGTTTGAACTATTTCAGTACACGAGAAAAATTAGATTCTCATGATGTTGTTTGTGTAGAAGTTAATAAGTGTAAAATATAATTTTCCGATGAAAAATACATATCATTTAAAAATTTCCGATATAAAGAAAAAACACCTTTCGTTGTTTATTGCGACTTTGAGTCATTGCTTCTTCCATTTGAAGAACAAGAGGGTAGGAAAATGATTAAAACTTCACGTTATCAAAAACATGAAACTTTCAGTGTTGGTTATTATTTAAAATGTAATTATGATCAAAATTTATCGAAGTTCAAGAGTTTCAGAGGTGCAAATTGCATTGATTGGTTCGTAAATGAATTAGATGATCTTGCAAAATTAATTGAAGAACAAATGCAAATAAATAAACCAATGCAAATTGGAGAAGTTCAAAATAATGAAGTGTGTCATATTTGTGAAAAACCTTTCAAGCAATCTGATACCATAGCTCAAGATCATAACCATTTCACAGGGGAATTTCGTGGATTATGTCATTCAAGTTGTAACATAAATTACCGAAATTCTTATTCTGTTCCAGTTTTTTTTCATAATTTGAGTGGCTACGACAGTCACTTCATCATCAAAGATTTAGCAAAACATTCATATATTACCCTACTCCCTATAAACAAAGAAAAATATCGTCGGCGAACTGACAATACCTGCTAAGTAACATTTTTTTCAAATATTGGTATTTCATGCAGTTAGCTTCCAATATTCATTGCGCACAATCTGTAATGAACTGCTACCTCCAGATGAATCCTTTGTTTACTTTATTGAAGGAAAACAATATCTGCTATCGACTTGACCTGTTACTAGGTGCGACAATATCTGCTATCTGTCAGTTCATTATAGGTTAGACCAGGTTAGACGGTCCGGTTTGACGTGCTCCGGTAATAAAGTTAATGAATGAAGTGAAATAATAGTGGAAAGTTGATTATTCGCCTGAATAACGAGTGAGTACTGTTTTGTTAATACTCTAGTATGAATATATTTGTGGAACACAATGATACAATGACTAAAATTGTTATCCTCAATGTGGCATGTAGATAGCAGCTGTATCGTTTGGGTTATTGCATTTTTCATGTATGTTTGATAACACTTAGCAGGTTCTGTTTCTCTTCTTGGGGTTTTCTCATTTAATATTATAATAATTATATTATACCAGGTGCGATAGTCCTGATTGAATAGACAATTATCCGAGAAAGAAACATATTTTTTAGTTTTCAAGTCATGTGTGGGGAACCTATTATATTTACGATTTGAAAGTATTAGGTATGTTTTGGTTTCAGGAAGTATGACTTCGCGGGCGCAAAAAATTCTAGACCTTCTTCCACAAGGGACGAAGATACCAGAATTGACTCGAAAGCAATACTGCAATTTGGTTCCTAATAGCAATATTTTATCGCAAATTTCACAAAATGATACTACCCCGAATACAGATGAAGTCAATAATTATCCTGTTAATGAAAACGTCCTAGTGGCAACTAGCTCTGATGTAATTGAATCAGAAACACAGGTGTTGGAAGAAATGCCCACTATCACAACTTTAAAGCCAGTAGTTGACACATTTGACATAGAACTCATGCCCATGGTACTAGTTGATGATTATTCTCAAATTCTGGATATTGGAATAGATAATGTTAGTTTGAATCTTCCAGAAGCTGATGAAGAAATTGATTGTACTGTTGATGATACTATGTATCTACAACCCAGTACAAGTGCTGATATCACTTATTGTGAAACTAATACTATCGATGATCGGCCTGAGAGCCCACCCATTTCTGATCGTGATGTCGATTATTCCCCTGGTAGTGAGCACGAGAGCGGAAGTGATGATTCTCGAAATGATGCTGAGATGGAAACCAATAGCACTGAGGAAGATGTTGTCTCTGACGTCAACGGTGAAGAACATGATATTATGAATGCCGATTACCAAGTAAACAACGACGAAGCTGCATGGGGTGATATGAATGAAGGGCGGAAAAGAAAAAATATAGCAAACAGAAATGAATGGAAAAGAGTGAAAAATCAAGAGCTTAGAATGAGGGGCGAGGATTATGTAGGTTTTTCCCGTGACAAACATAAAAACTTCAAACATGATGTTTCTCGAGCGGCAAGAAATATTGGAGAGCCCTGTGTATCAAGAATGTGTCTGAAGTCGAAGAGAAGGTTTTGCAATACTTTCACTGACGCTATTAGAAAAGAAATATTTGCCAAATTTTGGAAAACTATGACGTGGGATCAAAGAAAAGTCTTTGTGTCTGGACATGTCAACCTTCAACCTCCATCTAGAAAAACGAAGGAAAATGAAGATAGTAGAAGGGAAAATACAATGGTATATAAACTCCATAATGGAAAAGAGTTAGTTCAAGTATGCCGGAATACATTCCTTAATACTACGGGGTTAGGGCGATTCACAGTTGAGAGTTGGATAAAAAATAGTGTCTATAATATGAACGATTCGAAGTACGAACTAAACAAACAGCGTAAGAAAAATAATCACAGGGTGAATGCTTTTAATGAAAGTAAATCATTTGTTATTTCATTTTTCGACGACCTTCCCAAGCAACCTTCTCATTATGTTAGAAAAGATACGAATAAATTATTTTTGGAGCAACAATTCACTACACTAAAGCAGCTTTATGATTTTTACAAAGCAACCTGTGAGGAGAATCGAAACGAATGTGTCAGTGTCAAGACTTTCAAACAAATGTTTAGAGAAAAAAATCTTAGTTTATTTTCCCCAAAAAAAGATCGCTGTGACATCTGCATTGAGTACGAGAATAAAAATATTGATGAAACTGTATGGAGAAAACACATAGAAGATAAAGAGAAAGCTAGAAAGGAACATAAAAATGATAAGGAAAAAGCAATGAAAAAGGAATGTATTTTACTATGTATGGATCTACAAGCTGTGAAAGTGGCCCCATCGTTGAATGCGACCAAAATATATTTTAAGACAAAGTTGGGATGTCACAACTTCACAATTTATAACTCTGCCAGTCACCAATCAACATGTTACTGGTTCACAGAAATCGATTGTGGGTTACAGGCCTCCACATTTGTTTCTTGTATTATTGATTATTTGGAAAGGCACTGCTTGGGGCAAAACTTACCAATTATTATCTATTCAGATGGATGCACATTCCAAAATCGAAACAACATTTTATCAAACGCTCTACTGAACTTTTCAATTATCCACAGAATCTCCATTACTCAAAAGTATTTAACAAAGGGGCACACACAGATGGAATGTGATTCTGTCCATAGTTGCATTGAACGAAAGCTAAAGAATAGAGTAATTGAATTACCTAGTGATTACGTCAAAGCATCAAGAGAAGCTAGGATCAAGCCTGAGCCATATGAAGTCCTTCAACTGGATCACAGTTTCTTCAGGGATTACAGTAAAGCAGAATTTCTCCGCTATTCTACAATGAAACCAGGTAGAAATAATGTTGTGACAGACATAAAGGCCATTTACTATGATTTCAATGGAAATGGTGAAATAAAAGTGAAGCTTGATTTTGATGAAGAATTCAGTAATCTTCCATGCAGACCAAAACATATTGCTCCTGTTTTGAATTATCCTAGGCTTTACCAAGATCGTTTGCCTATCACTCAAAAAAAGTGGAAACACCTCCAAGAATTAAAAAGTGTTATATCCCAAGATTGTCACCCATTTTATGACCAACTGCAATACACAGAGGAGCATACTAAAATTAATAATGAAAATGTAAGAAAAATCAATATGAAAGAAACTGCAAGCTCGTCAGGATCGACAGTGAAGCCACCGAAAACAAAAAAATGCAAAAAATGATCAATTTCTTATTCAAGTCTCATTTTTGAATATATTTTTCTTGTTTACGAGTTCCTTATTTTATGTTTTACTATTGTAAGGATTTACTTTATGAACATCTTTCAGTAATAAAGTCTTTATAACAATATCTGCTATGGTCAAAAAAATAGTTACAATACCTGCTATTTACGTTTTAATAAAAACGGAATGGAATTCAAACTTAAATAGTTCATACAATCGTAGCTAACATTATTTCATAACACATATTGAAATTTTGCTTTGATTGATCCAAACAATCAAGCTCGATTATGTTTTATTCATCTCCTGTAAAAAAAACTGCTCTGCACTATATTGCACTTAGCAGGTATTGTCAGTTCGCCGACGATATATAAGCTTCGCCCAACATATTGCTGGATCTAAAGTAAAATTCAGATATGTTGATTCCTATAGATTCATGTCATTCAAATTGGAAGATCTGGTATCGTTTTTAGATAAATCAGAATTTGTCAATATGAGAAATGAATTTTCTGATCTTGATGAAAATAAATTTAATTTATTGTGTAAAAAAGGTGTATTTTGCTATGATTATTTGGATAACATCGATAAACTTGTAGCAACAAAATTACCGAGTAAAGATAACTTCTATAGTAAATTAATTGATGAGCATATTACAGATGAGGATTACGATCATGCAAAAAAGGTTTGGGATACATTCCAAATTGAATCATTAGGGGATTATTCTGATCTTTATTTGAAAACAGATATCATGTTGTTAGTCGATGTATTTGAAAATTTCAGAAAAATATGTCATGAAACATACGGATTGGACCCTGCACACTACTATACTTTACCAGGTTATACTTGGGATTGCATGTTGAAATATACTGAATGTAAGCTGGATACTATTCAAGATGTTGATGTACTACTATTCATAGAAAAGGGAATAAGAGGTGGGGTCAGTCAGTGTTCAAATAGACATTCCATTGCTAATAATAAATATATGTCAAATTTCAAAAACAATGAACCGTCAAAGTACATTATGTACTTTGATGTTAATAATTTATATGGATGGGCCATGTGCCAAGACCTTCCCCATTCGGATTTTGAATGGTTGGAAAATATTGAAAATTTCAATGTAAATGAAATTTCAGATGGATGCCAATTTGGTTATATTCTGGAAGTTGATCTCAAATACCCTGAATGTATCCATGATCTCCATAAAGATTTACCTCTTGCACCTGAAAAACTAATTCCTCCTAATTCAAAATTACCAAAGCTGATGACTACATTATATGATAAAGAAAAATATATTTTACACTATAAGAGTTTGAAGCAATATTTGGCCAACGGATTAGTAGTCGATAAAATTCACAGAATTTTAAGGTTCAGGCAATCAAAGTGGTTAAAACCATATATTGATCTGAATACAGATTTGCGTAGAAATTCAAAAATGAGTTTGGTAAGGTTACTTTCAAAACAATGATAAATGCCGTTTATGGTTAGACTATGGAGAATCTGCGAAAACATAGGATAGTTAAATTGGCGAAAAGTTGGGATGGTCGATATGGTGCAAAACATCTGATTTCCAGTCCTAGGTTTCATAACCGAACTATATTTGATGAAATGCTGATGGCAATTGAAATGAAAAAAACCAATATAATATTCAATAAACCCTTGTATATCGGTATGGCTATCTTAGATATATCAAAAACTTGTGTTTACAGTTTTCATTACGATTACATGTTGAAAAAATTCAAATTACCAGATTGTAAGTTGCTTTATGCAGATACAGACAGTCTCATATATGAATTACATTGTGATGATGTATATGAAGAAGTAATCAAAAAAGATTTGACCAAATTTGATACAAGTGATTACCCTATAGATAATAAATATAGTATACCGTTAGTGAATAAAAAAGTAGCCGGTTTGATGAAAGATGAAATGCTGGGGGAAATAATAACTGACTTTGTTGGTCTACGTTCAAAACAATATACTTTTCTAGTCAATAGTAATAAACCAAACACAGAGGGTGGAAAAAAGTGTATTAAAAAGTCAAAAGGTGTAAAATTTTATGTAGTCAAGAAAAAAATTACATTTGACGATTATTTGGACTGTTTGAAAAATAATAAGGAGAAATATGAAAAGCAAAGAAACATCCAATCACGTTCACATGAAGTTTATTCTATTGAACAAACGAAAATAGTTTTGAGTCCATTCGATGACAAGAGGTATTTAATTGATGATTCCACAGATACTTTACCTTATGGTCATTACAGTATTCTTAAGGTTGGTTGAGATTTCGCTATGGAATCCATTCAAATTCAGATATATCTTGTATGATAAAATGTTTTTATGTAAAACCAATTTTGTACTTCAATTTCAAATTAGGTATTTCTAATTCTATGAGATGAAAGTATTCTTGTGGTTGGTTGAGATTTCGCTATGGAATCCATTCAAATTTAGATATATCTTGTATGATAAAATGTTTTTATGTAAAACCAATTCTGTACTTCAATTTCAAATTAGGTATGTCTAATTCTATGAGATGAAATCAGGTATTTCTAATTCTATGAGATAAAAGTATTCTTGTGGTTAATTGAGATTTCGATATGGAATCCATTCAAATTTATGTAACAATTCAGTCTGGCAAAATGTTGTATGTGTCACCAAATTTGTACTCAAATTCCTGTACTGAATTTGAATGTAAAAACTAAATTTCCGAAATAAATATCTCCAGGACACATTGTTTTTTTATTATTTTTTATTCATGGTATTCATAACATCATTTTTATAATATAACAAACATTCTCTGAATGCATATCCTTCCACACTTTTACTCAAAATATCACAAATTGCAATGATAATAGATTCTTCATTCAATTTATTATTGGATTGCACCAAAAGTTTTTTAGCTAGTCCCAGAATATTATGATAAAAACTATAGAGTGATAAATTTCTCAGCATATCTATTTTATGTTGAATGATTATGTTGTCAAAATATATGATATTCCGGACAGCTTCTTCTCTCAAATATATTTTAGCATTGGTAGCACTCTGCACTTTCAAAATTTTGATATCCATGAAAGTTGTTGGTGTTATCTT